AGTTAACGTAGTAGTAAGCATAATATCCGCGAAGGCATTCGAGGAGATTCGAGGAGAGCTATAGTATATATAAATATAAATATATATATAAATATAAATATATATACATTTATATATAATTCTTTATATACACTGTACCCTCCTGATGATAATACTTAATGATAACAATGTTCTATACGTTTGTACGAAAGTATAATTATCTAAGACGAGATGAGATAATCGCCTCACACAGGTTCTCCAGTCTCAAAGTGTCGCGCTAGGAAAGAGGAAGCGATACACGATCTTCGGGATCTTTCGAGGGATCATTTCCCACGGGTCAATTATTTATCTTGACAGCAATTATACGCGACTCGTGCAAGAGCGAGAGCTATCGTGCAACGTCACGCTTTGAGACTCTGGAACTCCGCAGGCTCTCTTTAGTATAATAAATAGATCGAATGCTATATATCGTGTCGCACAAAATATACTGCGCATACTGTCTGTATTTATAATAATCGGACGAAGACGAGTCGGAGTTTGGTCTTCCTGATATCGGCGGCCCGTTAGTTCTAATACTCGTTTATTGATAATTAAGCTCATATCTCTGCCCGAGAGAACAGCTTCTCGCGGATAACTATCACGAAAGCGTTTTCTCTTTTTGTTCACGTAAAAGATCTCTCTCGACTTGAATGACCAACGAATAATCGCAGCGTATTCATAGAGCTTCCACGACAACACTCGATCGTGATATACAAAGTAGCCATATTATTACTGTTACTATTTCCAGATATGAACGAAACCAATATTCCACGCATATCAATAATAAATGATTGATACACGTATGTGTGAGACGCTTTTGTTTTATAAAATCGTAATAAAGTTATACAGACTTGCAAAAATGATGAGAAGTGCCTCGGCGTTCGCGTTGAGGAAAAGTAGATTCGGAATTTCAGATATTTCGTAGATAAAGATGATAACAAGAATATACGGAACATTTCACGTATTTTTTCACACACGTGTGTTTGATTAAATTGAGGACAGAAAGGATCTCAATTAGCTGCAAAATTGATGATAGCGAGCTAGCAATGCGAAGGATTCTCGATCATTTGCTTATTAAAGTTACACGACTGACATCGTGTTGAATCTATCTCGACAATCGATTATCGCGGGGTACGTCGTTTAAAACGAAGTCGAGTCAGTTCTTTCCAAGCCAATATTCTAGCGATTATAGTCGAAATCTAGTATTTATCTTGATATCATCCATTCCCCTTAACTCATAGCAAGTAATATTATTACCGAAGGTAAATCAGTGTCGAATATTTAACGGATAAGTACGATATTATGGTACGCATATAACTGTAATGACGTAAGATATATGGTGGATACACATAGGACGCATGTAAACTAATGTCAAAGTCGGGAGACAGCGAAAGTGTGTCCCCGCGAGACACTTTTTCATCTAGACTTGCGCACACAACTTTATAGACACGCATATATACGCACTATACTTACGCACAAAGCGACCAATTTTTATCTTCGTTTATGTCAACTGCCTCAGTATCAATTATCGTGATAAAAAAGAAATATATATTCACTCGCTGCATTTTCTCGACATACACGTATATGCGCGATCGTGATGATCGATAAATATCCCTATAAAGGAATGCGCCGGTATAAAGATTCGAATTGGTCACGTGTGTGCGTAAACGCAGCGAATATGGCGCACAGTACGCAAAGATACTCAATCCTCGCGCGATGGATTTTCGACGCTTCTTTTCATATACACGTGAGTACGATCGCGCTCTTATTCCGCATCACGCATATAATTTGATTATTCGTTTCGTCGCGTATATATATATTATATAATATGTGATAAACGAGATGGAGAATAAACAAGAGCGAGCCGGGAGAGCGTCCCGGCGGTGCCGACTGTACGGAGGTAGGCTAGATTCGACAGTACGTGCTAGTATAAAGTGTCCTTTTTATATGAATAAAAGATTTTGTATGTCAATCTATACGTGCATCTTCGTGCGTCTCGTGTTTTCAGATATCCATCATCCTTCCTCGTTCCTCGGCGGAAATATTTTTTGGTTTTAAAAGGTAATGATTTAATTAGATTGTTGCGAGGTTAATCGATTAAACATGAATAAAAAAAATTAAAAAAATGTTGTACGATATATAAGAATATTTTCTATTTTGATTTTATACGTGTGAAGTAATATGCATTTTCAAACTATAATGACTAGATAAAAGTAATTACAAAAAAATATTAAAAATATATCTTTCTTAATTATTGATATATTTCAACGGAGATGAAAAAAAAATCATGATTATATCGAAAGATCGTGCGGTTCATTTCCAACGTTCCAATACGTTTAAACACGTGCATTTTTACATAAATGAACGTGCCGAGAATATGTATACTACATTATTAATAAAGAATATTGAAGAAATAAAGAAGCTGAAAAGATACAAATGTGTGATTTCCGTAATATTGCATATATGTATATATTATATTTCTGGAATACACATGTGTATTATAAATTCTAGTACCACGAAGTACGAAAGAATTCTATCCCTAGAACGTGTGTTGGCAACGCGTGTTTTGACGTATCGTCAAAGTGGTGTGTTATTTTTCAGTATTCGCGCTAAGTGGGAGCATCGTGTGTTGTTCGATTTTCGAGTTAGATAAACGGGAAACCGTTGTCAACGAGCGATGGAGGCCGGTGCGAGTACGGGTACTCGTACGACGCGATTTATGATGGAAGGTGTCGGCGCCCGAGTAATCCGCGGACCGGAATGGAAATGGGGAAAACAGGTTAGAATCGAGAGGTTAACTGCATTATAAACGTAACTTTTTCGAGATAACGCAATTCTTCCGTTCTATGAGATTATTCGCAATTAGTATTTTCATGTCTCTTGTCTCCTGTGACGGGGATATGAAATTTTTTTTAAAGAAATTGCGTGTGCATAGGGATAATCTACTTTGCTGTAAGGTTATTCTGATATTGTGTGTTTGTTTCACGTACGACAATCATTATTTTATTAAATCATTAAGATACATTACGCATTTATTCAAACCACTATTAGGTTTTATTGTGTTGTGTATAAAACATATATGATTTTCCAAAAATAAAATGTTAGATGTATGCAACAGTTGGAATAACATTCTTTTTTTGAATCATATATATTTGACTGGCAAGCGATAGCTATATTGTCAGCTAATTTTCTTATATTAATGGTAGAAAATGTAAAATAATTTCTAATTATTTGCGTTTAATAGGATGGTGGAGAAGGTCACGTGGGTACCGTCAGAAACTTTGAATCACCAGAAGAGGTCGTAGTTGTATGGGATAATGGCACTGCAGCTAATTATCGATGTTCTGGAGCCTTTGATCTGCGTATACTAGATTCCGCTCCAACAGGAGTTAAGCACGATGGGACAATGTGCGATACCTGTCGTCAGCAACCTATTTTTGGAATACGATGGAAGTGCGCTGAATGTGGCAACTATGACCTTTGTTCCATTTGTTATCATGGAGATAAGCATCATTTGCGGCACAGATTTTTTCGCATTGCTACACCAGGAAGTGAAAGAGTTTTGCTAGAGCCTCGACGGAAAAGCAAAAAGGTATGAATAATTACTCTTAATTTTAATTATATTTAAAAATTACTTTTTAGATATATTACATTTTTTATTAATTAATTCTTTTATACAGATTGCAATTCGTGGTATATTTCCTGGTGCAAGAGTTGTAAGAGGCGTGGATTGGCAATGGGAAGATCAGGATGGTGGAAATGGTCGTCGGGGAAAAGTTAATGAAGTACAAGACTGGTCTGCAGCTAGCCCACGTTCAGCAGCTTATGTTATTTGGGATAATGGTGCTAAAAATTTGTACAGAGTTGGTTTTGAAGGAATGGTTAGTATTATTTTAAGTATTGTACTGTATCAATTGTGCAAAAAGATTATTTATTGATATACATTTTTTATATCTAGGCGGACTTAAAAGTGGTCAATGATGCAAAAGGGCAAACAGTATATAGAGATCATTTACCATTACTTGGTGAGCAAGGTCCAGGTCGGACAGGACCTCATGGTTTGCAAATTGGTGATCAGGTGATTATTCTCTATTCACGATCTGTTTATTTTGCATAGAAAGTATTCAAAATATTTGATATAGTAATTTTTCTTTCTGTGTCTATAGGTTAATGTTGATTTGGAATTGGAAATTGTACAATCACTGCAACATGGTCATGGTGGCTGGACAGATGGCATGTTTGAATGCCTTGGCACTACGGGAACAGTTGTCGGTATTGATGAAGATCATGACATTGTTGTCTCTTATCCAAGTGGTAATCGGTGGACTTTCAATCCTGCTGTACTTACTAAAGTACAAATACCCGTCCCCGTTACTAGCTCCAGTTCTGACAATCAAACATTTGCTGTTGGAGATTTGGTTCAAATATGTCATGATATAGAAAAAATTAAATTACTCCAGCGTGGTCATGGAGAATGGGCAGAGGCAATGGCTCCGGTATGCATTTCAAAATAACAAACTAAAATTTAATTCCATTTGTTTTTGTCTCACACTCTCTCTCAAATTTTACATTTGAATTTTTTCAGACCTTGGGAAAAATAGGTAGAGTACAGCAAATATATCATGATGGAGACTTGAAAGTGGAAGTCTGTAGCACATCATGGACATACAATCCCCAAGCTGTCACAAAAGTTGCTAGCAGTGACGGAAGTGTACCAGGAAATAGTAGCGGTGGTAAATATATGACAAACTAAACTGATTAGTCATTTCATTAGTCATATCCTTCTGATTTAATATGTACTACAAACTATATATTGCTTTATTTTCCAGAACGGTTATCTGCATTATTAAAGAAATTATTCGAGACACATGTATCAGGTGACGTCAATGAAGAATTGGTAAAAACTGCAGCGAACGGCGACGCTGCTAAATGCGAAG